CGATCGGTAGGCGAGTGGGATTGTCACATAATTTGTGTCCATGGTCGTCGTGCGCGAAGTTGCTGGGTCGATTGAATAGCGCCATGGTTGTCATCGATAAGTTCCTCTGTTGTTTTCATCGTTTGGACGGTTGGGTGGTTCGTACATTTCAGCGAACGTTTAATAATATTGGATGAACCTTTTTTTTTTTGCGTGTGTGCATCTCACACTTTTTTTTTTTTTTTTGTGGTTGTTCAAATCTTTTTGTCCTCAATGGTTTCGTGTGGTGTAAAGATTTTTGTTTTCTTTCTTTTCTTCTGTGTCTCTTCCTTCTTTTTTTGTTTATTTCTTTGTTTGTGTCTCTTCATTTCGTTTGTCATGAATGGTTTCGTGTGGTGGTGTGGTGGGACGTCAAACATGGTTGTTGGAATCATTCATAAAAGGTGCATAACATAATACGAAGAAGAAAATTACAAACATAGAAAGGTAACATGGATTGTGTGCATGCATAGGAGGCGATCTTCTTTCGATCGTTCCAGCGAGGAGACGCGAAAAGCGGACACATGACAGAAAAAAGGGTGCGCTAAAAGCGCTATGAAGATCTTGCGTAGCGAACAACGATGATAAAAACACGACACAGGAATGAAATGAATCAACCCGTCGTTGACTCCAAGGACCAACACAATAAACACCTGCACTGAATGCAAAATGCACGACTAAAATCAATCAACCCGTCCTTGTGCCACGACCGACACCCTAAACAGCTGCACAACTGTCATCGGCAGGGCGAATCACTCCAACCGACACACTAAACGTTGCGCACTGCACAACGGTCCAGCCATAGTGAAGCCCATCATGACCACCCACGTGTACATGCCCCCTCGTCCATAGAAGCGCCGCCCCAATCCAGCACGGAACCACCACCGCACCACCCATTCGCCCCCCCCATACGCATCGTATTTTACATCGTCGTGGTTGTCATCATCGGGGGGGCCTGAACCCATCCAATCAAGCTTCTTCGCATCCTCCGGGACCGTCATGCTCGCATCATGCCTGAAACCAATGCCGCAGGGTGCCCAGCGAGGGATGTAGTCCGGGTACTCTCCGAACGTGGTGTTTGCCTTCCCCAGCCTCTCCATGACGACTTTTGCGGTGCGGACGACGGATCGTCGATGATCGAAGGACCGATGCATGGACGCGACGAGTGTGGGCTTCGCCAGCAGGTTCGCGAAGTAGAAAGCTTCGTAGTGGCTGCGCAGATCGTCTTCCGCCATGCGCATTATCCACATGCACGCCGCCAACAAAAGCCTGAAGCAGTCAGCCACCCGACAAAGGCGGTCGTACGAGATGAAGTCGCAGTCGATGTGCGCACCCATTTGCACCGCCGCGAGGAAAACATACGCGGCGCGGATGACGGTGGACTCTAGGAGTCCAGGTACGCCGCCATGTCGTCGTCGTCGGGTCTGTCCTCGATGTTGGCGCCTACGAACCACTGTGGCAAGTCCATGGAGATATCTATCGTGTGCGCGCATACCGCCGCACTGACGACGTTGCACCGCTCCTCGTCGTACCACATTGCATGTGCAATGTCTGTCGCGACGGATTCCGGCGAGTACTGGAAAGCCACACTGTATCCCCTTGGGCGGTTCCCGGACTTGAATATCCAGCTGTGCAAGATGCGCAGAGCAATGTTCTCAACTGCCGCCGCACGGGAGATCGCTTGCTGTAGATGTGATGGGTCGGTGATCCTGGCCACCTTCGTGCTGGATTTGGGCAGGACCACGCTCCGAGGGACGACAAATGCTGGAAGGCCGCTGGTGATGGCGACAAAGTACTCTTTCGTTTCATGGACGATGTTGTATAGTCTTCGCCCCTGCCCCGTCGTCCAGAAAGCTTTGTCGTCAACCCAAAGTACGACATGATCTATGAGATCTTTCGTCATCACACCCCTATGTGGCCGGCTTGAACCGGGGTCGCCGCCGTCCCGATCAATTCTGTTCTCACCACGCGCCTCTTCTCTCGCCGTCGAAACAACTGCCGCCTCCTCTCTCGTCGCCGCAACGGGGGCCACAGTGACCACCCGCACTTGCACCATCTGTCGCCTCGCCGCCAACTGCGCGCGCTTCTGCCGCGACTTTCCCCCCGCTGCCACGCAGGACGGACCCTCCGTCATCACCCGGATTGCGCTGACGTGGCTCCCGTGTTTCGCCTTTCGTCTACCGCAGCGCGCGTCCTCGCCGCCAGCACTGGGGTGCCTTGTGTTAGAGTGCGCAGACGACATTTGTGCAAGGGCTCGATGTCGGCGCGAATACCCTTACAAGGGTATCCGCCCTTCCCTTTGCAAGTGATAGGAAGGTTGGTTAAACCAGAATTTTTGGAGTGTTCACGGGGATTGTGGTGGTTGTCTGCGTATGCATCGAAGGTTATCAGATTAGGAAGGATGCGTGAGCGTGCAATTTTAAGGCGCGCGTGTGATTTTTCCTTGTTAATTATGTGGCCGGCCTAGTTGACCAGCCAGAAAGGTCCGTCTTTTGATTGGCACGTTTGACCGATAGTAGGTCTGGCGCACGGGGCAGCTACGACAAAGACTGGGTAAGCCGGCAGGGACGCTTGGCGGCTGCTGTCAGAGGGCACGGTGTCCCGGCCCTCCTATGAACCGAGTCTTTGCATAGTACCAGTTTCCTGCTAAGGTACCAGGATTGTCTCTCGGCGTGGACAGGCCCGGTGGCGTAGCCCTCAGCAAAAGGGGTGCGCCACAGGACTTCCATTGGTCCACGCAGGCTCGGCGCCGTGCTGTACAGCAGAGCACAACCGACCTGTGGCCGTGGTAGCCGCCGGGTTCGCCCTGGGACGCGAAGGTAGAGAGATAGGCGCTGCCTTTTCTATTATGCACCGAGCACCCCTCTACAGGGTTATGGGTCAGGTGCATGACGCTGACAGCAGTCAGAGAAACAGAAGGCTAAAGCAAAAAGCAGCAAGAAAAGAAAAATGGAAAATGAAAACAAGGATCTAACTTCAACGCAGTTGGACTACTAGCTTCAGTTCGGGGAAATCTGATGGCCTCTGACCCCCGGTTATCGTTGCGTCTCACTCTACTATTATTATTATTTACTTGTTGTTATCATTATCCCTTTCACACTCTCCCCTGTGCATTCCCTCAGACCCGTCTCTTTCCCTTGCTCAGTTTCTCACCCGTCCCGCGGCCCCTGGGCGTCAGCTGTCGTGAGCTGGCCTCGGGTCCCTTTTCCACCGGCCCCGAGGCTCTGTGGTGCCTCTGGATCTCGCCTGGCCTGATCCAGGACCTGAGGTTTGTTTCCCGGTCTGCCTCACTCATCTCGCTCTCCCCACCTGAGTCTCTCTCGTTGTGCTGTTCCTCCCTTGTCTCAATCCCAGTCGAAGACTATGTCTCATGATAGATGACCGACACCCTCAAGCCCACGGTCACCCCGTCTCGTCTGCACCTCCGTTCCGCCCTGTCGCGCGCTTCGGAAATGGCAGCCTGCAGCCTCTGGTCAGCTCGCATCTCCTCCTCTCTCCCCCCTTCAATGCAGACTTTCAGCCGGACTACCTCTCCCCATCATAGTTCAGGGCCGTCGTAATCTGAGGGCCTTCCCCCGACACTGGAACCCAGTGCACTGTATGCCGCCAACACCCTGACCTATAGCCGTGTAGCGCCATTGCTACTCAGGGTAGCCTGCCCCGCTCGATAGGTAGCATAACACTGGACCCAACACTCGTGCCCATAGACTATCCACCGCTTTCTCAGGCCGGCAGCGTCAACACAGCAGAAGAGGCTTCACTGTCAATAACTCGTTTGCCTCACCTCTTTATAGGCTCACCCCTCGCTATGACCCCCAAGCTCTAAAAGAAGAGTTTTGCTCTGGCCTTCTTTTTAATATTCTTAATATTCCAAAATATAAAGCAAAATAAAAACTGAATAATTCGAAACCGAAAACTCAACGGTCAAGGTATGGTTCGAAATCGCTATGCGGTTGTCAAGCCACTAATTATCACGATGTGACCACGGCCTGATCTCTGAAGTCCCATAACGGGACACTGACAAGCATTTTTTCTTTCTTTAAGACGTACGCGTTGGCCTATACCCGACGGGTACCCGTGTCCGATGGCAAGGAGGGGGTTTATGACCCTCTCTAGGGGGTGATATTCCTCCTACCAATGCGGCCGCGGGTCGCCCTCCTTTTGGGGCCTTACCGCACTACGCTATACCAAAGCTAGCCCACAGACAGTATACGTGGGGTCAGCCTACTTAGGCTGTGAGTCACTGAGTTCGAAATACGAACCGTTGACCTTCTCGTGAAATGACAGGCCGACAGGCGGCAATCTGAAAATAAGAAAAATTAGTACAAATAATAATAATAATAATAGTGATAAATAACAATCAATGCGGAAAGAAAGGACGGCGCTTCAAGTTTCCTTCGCGTCGCAGGCTTCGCCTGAATAGCGTTGCAAGTTACCGCACATGCCCAAACCAGATTTTCATCCTTACCCCTTTTCCTTCTTTTTCACACTTCCCTTTTTCAGGCCCACTGCATCTGCCCTGCAGTACAGCTACTGGGGTCCTACCGCGCAGAGCCTCAGGTGTGTGGACCCGGTACAGATAAAATTCGAAAGGTTGGGTAAAAGATTCCTAAGGCCGGGGACCGGCGAAGATCGCAATTGAAGGGTCTCGCTCGAAGCCGGACGCACACAACAGGAAGGGATTTGCATTATTTAATTTATTTTATTTATTGCAATCACATACAAAATCATGCGTGACAGCCTGTTGACTTTCCGGTCGCCAGAAGCGGACTGACTGGAGAAAGTGCGACACCGCGCCTCGAGCTGTAGATGGGAGAAGACTCGGGTCATGCTCTCGGCCTCGGACGCTAAGCCGCACCGCCTTATGTAGGATTTTGCGCGCGGTGGTTGCAGACTCGGGTTTAGCCCTATAGGTTATGGCGTTGGAGTGCTACTACGAAGGTATGAGGGTTGAGGCCAGCAGACGACAACGTGGGAATATCAGTGTGGCGCGAAGGGACCGAGGGGTCAAGGGTCCGGCGGGGCTATCCCCCTTGGTTTTGCCGCTGGCGGAGTCGCGACGAAGCCTACGGTTATTTTTTTGAATTTTTTTTCCTAATTATTATCTGTTGCCCTTTGCAAGTGAGGGCATGACACCGGCCACGGGTGGCCGTCATGACAGTCGAGGACCCTAAGCGTGCGCCCCCTTAGGTTGGCTTGCGGGTTCTCACGCACATGGGATGTCGGCGAAATTCCCTTATCCCGTTTGACCTGGAACGCTGACCGGAAAGGGCAACATGCAGGAGGTCGGCCGCGTTTCCGTAGTCTGGCTTCCCTCGCTTGCCACTTGAAAAGCGTCAATAGCCTAAAAAGTAGAACCGAATTGAGGAGCGTCCCAAACAACCCTGTGGCGTTGCGCTTAGAGGGTGGCGGGGGTTACCGAGGGTGTGCTGTCCGCCAACCACGTTGTTGCGAGGAGTTTGGGTGTGAACATGCTCTTTGGGGGCCCGAAAGACAGCGGGCCGTCCCTGAAGGCGGTCGGACAGCCAAGCTAAGGTGTCAGGCTGAATGGCCAGTTATGTGGGACCGGCCTGACCCGACTTTCCCGGACATCGTGGACCGCTACAGCCAGGGGCTGTCGTGTTGAAAGTGGGGTGGAATGACAGAACGGGGCCAGCTGTGGATCTCTACGTGGCGGCAGCAAGCGCAGAGCGCAGGGAAAGCCAGAGAGCGGAGCACTGCTGGGGACGGGCGCTGGAACAGCACGATGGGGCAACGAGCAGCAATAGAGGGGAGTCGTGAAAGCCAGAAGGAATGAACCAGGGCGCGTTTCCGCGCCTGATTCATTCGTCGGAGGACTAAAACGGGAGGGCGAGTCACGGGGAAAACGGCCGCTGCTGAAGCACTAAGCTCATATCGGGGGAGTAAGGGTGAATCTGGGCACGGGTGCGTGCCGGGTGCACTCGAGAGCGGAGTATTGCGGGTGAGGCAGAGAGAGAGGAGGCCAACGGCATAATGCCTGGACAGCGGGTTCGGTCGACTTACGTCGGGTGGCAGTGAGGCGGAGTGCGGAGGTAGAGCGTGGAGTGCCAGGTAGCGGGGGACTGGGCGCTAAGGGGCTGAGGTGGCAGACGGATAAGAGGGGCAGCGGGAGTCGGGAAGTAACTTTGCGACAGGTGCGCTAGCTACGTACGGGGTTGGCAGCAGGTGAGTAGGGCGATGGGCGGACGAGGTGTCAGACGATGGAGAGAGCGAGTGTAAGGAAAGGAGAGGACCGGAGGCAAGGTGTAGTGGCGAAAGGAAGGAAAGGAAAGGCGGGTCGAATTTGGACGGGATTGTACGCTAGATACAGGCAATGGCAAAAATGGCGGAGTGATGGGCCGGCGCAGTTAAGAAAGAGTAACTCGCTCGGCCCTTGTTGGATTCAAGTGAGGGAAAGGGCGATTTTGGGGTTCTTACCCCAGCCGAAGTAGGTGGTAAGGTTAGTATCGACGAAAGGTTAGTGAGATAGGTGATGGAAAGAGAAAGCTGACGCGCGGAGCTATGGAGGAGACGAGAAGAAGACGGGGGTAGGACAACAAACCTCACCCGATTCTTGATGAAAACGGGCGATTGGAGAATCGATTCAGAAGCTCTGATAATAGACGAACCCGAATCTGATACTAGAGTTATAGAAGGGTAGTAGATTTGGAGCTAGAAGGAGAGGTAGGCTGCGGGATGAGTTAGTAAGGGAAGCCTGTGAGGGACTGAAATCTAGCATGCATCTTCCCGGGTTCTAGCGGAAGGTGCATTTAAGTTGTTGTCAGGTAGCGGACGCTGTGGATTTCGTGCATGCGGAGCCTCCCTGATGTTATCCTTTTGAAAGAAGCAGCACTTTTTGTCTGTCTGCGCGCGTGAATGTGTACTCCTCTGTTTCGACGGATAGACTGATAGGGATTCGAATGGGTTACCGAAGTGAGAAAGGAGGGTGAATCTAGACTGGAAAATGCACTGGGTGCATGCGCAAAAAGGGCGGAATAAAACATGCGAGGCACAATGGATTAAGCCCGGGGCATGATCGATTGAGGGCGGTTCTTGATAGGAAGAAAGGAGATTTGGGGGTTTTAACCCTGGGCGAGTGTGATTTTGAAGTTAGTCTACTAGTTAGCAAGTTAGTAGCTTAGGAGATAGAGAGGAAGAGAGGAAAAATACTCACCTGGAACTAGCGATGCAGGAGGAGCCGAGGAACGGGTTGTGTGGGGTGAGCCGAGAACTAGACTACGTGCCAAACTGCAG